ATTGCATTCATATCTCATTATTCAGTATGAAATACATTATATATAATTTTATACCACGTTTAAAGAGTTAGTTCAATACACCAGAGCTTTGGAATCAGTCTAAAGTAGAATTGAGTGCATAACAACACCTTTTAGTCTCTAGGTCAATTATTTTTGCTATATTACAAATTATAAGCTAATCAGTACACATCTTTAATGGTAAACGAGTTTAATATACAGAATTTGTACTAAACTAACTTATGATGATAAAAAACTACAGAATGTAAACTAGATTTTTTTGGGTTATACCAAGTGCAAATACCATATAGTAAGTACTCATAAGGCAGAATTAATAACCTTGGCAAATAACGAATATCAAGTTTTATTTGAAAATTGAAATAGAAATACAGGGAATATAATGTAATTTGAAAAACATATAGGAATATAGAGTATACTAACGATAAGGCATAAAATGTAGCAAATTCTGTACACTATTCAGTGAGCATTGAAGGGTCGCTTCACCGCAATTACTTAGCCATACGATCACGTGATGCGAAGTGAGAGTCTTTTTCCTTCAATCGAAACAGATTTTCACCTCATTTTAGGGTTCGATAAAATTTAAATTCAGGAAATATTGGAAATATTCCGTCACATATAAAATGAACTTTCCTATTTTAACTACATTCAAAACATAAAAATAATAGAAAAATATACATGCTAAATAAACTATATGAATGGACCTCATTAAAAACTAAACAATTAATTTATTCCATTATTAAACATATAATTACGGGGAATATAAGCGGGAATTGGCGTAAGACTAGAGCCCACACTCGCACTACACTTGTGTGACTACAGCACTCTCTGGTAAGCATTGCTCAACACAACAGTCCATAACATTATAAACACACAGTTTTTTACGATTGCTTTTGGCTTTCGATTCACTGTTTGATCGAAAAGTGAATAATTATTTTGTTGTTGTTTTCAATACAACACAACATAAGGATAAATATGTGCTTTAAATACACATTTCAAACACCAAATCAATGGTTTGATTGAGATTTACATTTCATATATATTTAATTCATATATATTTATAAATTATAATTAATCAAAAAAAAGGTTATTTTATTTAATAATTTTTAATAACTTATAACTAGTGTTGCCTTCAATTCAATCGGTTGTGAATTTTTAATACAATTTTTTGTTAGTTTTTTAAATATATTTTTTAATTTCAATTATAATTATTGTCACAAAAACTAAATGTATTTATAAATTGTGTTCAATATTTGGGTGCAATTCATATAACGATAATATATTTAGTATTATTATTATTGTATGTGTTTTTGTATTGCAATTACAAAATCACTTATCAATTGATCCAATCATCTGAAGAACAAATATTGTCCGCTAATAATGGCCGCAAAGAGTGATAACAAGCCGTCGGCAAACTTCCAGAAGACACTGAAGGGAATCCTCGCCGGTATTTGTTACCATTCATTACAATTATCTTATTATTCCTCCACATCTACCAGCGATGACTGGCATAGAGTCGTCTATACATAGCATTAATTATGCATTTTGTGAATCTATTTCCCCTCTATTTATGTGACCTTCGGATGTGTGTTTGGTTATTGTCGACGTATTGTCTCGCTATCAACTGATCCATAGGTGGTATAACGGGTGGTATTGAGATCTGCATAACGTTTCCCACTGAATACGTGAAGACTCAGTTGCAATTGGATGAGCGGTCGGCCAAACCTCGGTATACGGGAATCGGTGATTGTGTCAAACAGACGGTCCGCAGTCACGGCGTGTTTGGTCTCTATCGGGGCCTCTCTGTCCTCATATACGGATCTATTCCGAAGTCGGCCGTCAGGTATGTCTTGCCATTCGCTTCATATCGTGTTTGCTCTCAAAAGATTACATTATATAACTTTCTAACCATTAGTTTCATATCTAATCTCTAACTAAGTTATAACTAATATTTGAGTGATAACATTGAGTTTGATATAAAAATAGGGTTTTATATTAAAAATAGTTTTTTAATTTTAAAAAATAAGAATTTATTAAAAATTAAAGCAAAAAAATGTAATAAAATAATTGTTTTTATTTGCAATCGAAAGGTTTGGTGCGTTTGAAGAGCTGAAGAAGCGTAATGTGGACGCGAAGGGCAATCTATCGCCGGGAATGCGAATGCTATGCGGTTTGGGGGCCGGAGTGTGCGAAGCCATCTTTGCGGTCACACCTATGGAGACCGTGAAAGTGAAGTTTATTAACGACCAGAACAGCGCTAAACCCAAGTTCCGGGGCTTCGCTCACGGGGTCAAAGAGATTGTGCGCGAACAGGGAATCCGCGGCACATATCAGGGCCTCACCGCCACTATCATCAAACAGGGCAGTAATCAGGCCATGAGATTCTTCGTGATGGAAACGCTAAAAGACTGGTACAGAGGCGGCGATCCCAATAAGAAGATCAATAAGTTGTTGATCGGAGGGTTTGGTGCAGTGGCCGGAGCCGTCTCAGTGTTTGGCAACACACCCGTGGATGTGGTGAAGACCCGTATGCAGGGCTTGGATGCGGCCAAATACAAGAGCACATTGGACTGCGCCCTACAAATCGCCAGAAAAGAGGGCTTCAAAGCCTTTTATAAGGGAACGGTTCCCCGACTCAGTCGCGTCTGTCTGGACGTCGCCATCACTTTCATGATATACGACTCATTCATGGAGTTCTTCAACACAGTGTGGAAAACATAAACCTATTGTCCGATTGTAACCCTAGGATTGCTTTCACTCATTGAAATAATATTGATTTGCAATTCACTTGTGGTTCACATCTTATGACTGAAGAAACTGAAAAACTCTTTTTTTAAATATTTAATAGTAGACTGAATTCTAATTGACTTTTTTATTACTTATTTCTATAATTAGTACTCTTTTTTGATTTTGAAAATCATTTAAAACTTTGGTTTATAATACGTGTGTCTATTGTGTTGTCCCTTAAAATTATGTTTTCAATTCATTTGCAATTTTGTTTTTCTTTGTTTTTTTCTTATTATAGTTTCTATTAATTTGTTATAATATTTACATATATTTTAAGCGTTTATAATATCGTTATTTAAAACTAATTATTTATCTAAACAAACAAAGCGAAAGATAAATTAGTTATAAAATAAAAAACCATAGATGTAATTAGTCTTAACCATCGATATAGTGTTGATATTAATAAATATGCCGTATATTTAAGTGAGAAGAAGATTAAACATGTTTAACAAAATACATGTTTATTTTCCCTGAAAATAAGACTGAAAAACAAAATAAATTTTTAGTGTTAAAAAATCGTGTCATTCGTTGTCTTAATCAAAAAAATGTACTTATTTTTAGTTGTTTTGATCGATATTTTAAAAATAACATTAAAACATACAAACATTTCACATCGATATACTTGTTGTGTATTTTTATTGATTTCCATTTCTCTATATTTTAAGGCTATTTAAAACCAGTTCTAACTCTTATCTAACTGTGCGCTCAGGGATGGGATGTTGTTTCCAATACCGCTAATCCAAACCATATTCCTCACAGAATCACACGTATTGTATACGGATGTGAGGATTCAAATTATTCACTCATTTCACTGTTAAGACATACAGAATATTCTTATTAGTGGTGATTATTCTCGTGTCATTCTCTGATGTTAACTCTTAAACAGAAAATTGCAAAACAAAAATGCATTTTGTATTTAATTGAGGAAAAGTCGTCATCAGTTATGCAATACAATCGCCAAACTATTAAGACGTAAACTAATTAAAACTTAATTACATTCATGGACTTAAATGCCTGCCTTCCGGCCATTGACGTCAACAACTAATCCACGGTTTTATATTCAAAGTGATGTTTAGATTAAAGAATCATCATTTCAATCGAGGTTTAATTGTTAAAGTTTTTATTATCTAATAAAAAATAAACATTAAAATATACTTAATATTGAATACAATTGAATTGAAGTAAATATTAAACTAAAAACAAATATCAAAACTTTAAAGTTTAAATGTTTAAAAAAATTATCGAAAATAGCATTCAAGTAATTATAAGTTATAATTTATAATTTATAACGAAAAGTTTTGGGGAAAAGTAAGCAAATTGACTGCAAAACTGGTTTTCTATTATATGATTAAATAAAATGCTTATTAAAGTGTGGATTGAATTATAATTTATAAATAGCAGTGAAAATTACAATAAAATATTTGCGATTTAAAAGTCTCGCTAAAAAGTGGGCAAAAGTCATATCATCAGCACATCTGATGTAACATCAGTGATGTTAACGTCAAATATAAGCGCATATATTGTATGGCATTTGCGTTGAGTGTTGTATTGACTGTCACTTCACTCTCAATGCCATAACAATGAAAATATTTGTCACTTTTATTATCACTTTTACATAACATTTACAATACATTGAATGCTATTATTATAACTATTTATTAATAATTATATGTAATAATAGTTATAATAAAAGGATGTATTGATTGCGTCTATGAATGCGAAACAGCATTCACTCAATACAGACATCAATGCAATTGTTATAACAAATGATTGCATTTAATAACACAATCACCGCTTAATTGAATGCCAAACAATGCATTTATCACCGCATTTGGTCACTCAATCCTAACCACAATCACCACTACATCCCTCCACATGTCGTCCACGTGTGCGGCGGTCGACGACGAGTTGGCCGTTACGGCCATACACTTGACGGTCGACGACGATGTCGATGACGGCAGCGGTGGTGCCGAGCAATTGGATCCACGCATACGAGACAAACTCGAAGAGCTTAACGAATGCACAGATAATATCAATAAACTGGAGAAACAATTTGAGGTATGATTGTTTTGGTGCCCAAGAGTTGGTAACAATGATACGATATCTCACTCTTCGTCGTGTTATCCAATAGGAACTGAATGTCTTATTTCGGGACACATTGAATGAGCGGACGTTACGGTTGCGGCAGATCTCGCAGAAACTGGGCTCAAGTGTGGCGGACGCGCGTCCGTATCACGACTGCCGGTCGCGTGTGTCTGAACTCCAGAAGCGGTGCCAAACGGCGGTTCAATCGTACGAGAAGTCGGCCGAACTTCACGACCAATCGAAAGAGACGATCACTATTGCCGAACACAAGTTCGCCGTCAGAGGCCAGTCGGGAGACACAGACTTTGACCACTTCTGGCAAGAGATGCTCAATCAGGCAAACACTAAGGTGTGTGTTGTCTGACCGCAAAATTATCACACATTCATTGTCCGAGTTATTGATTAAAGCCATACTTTTTGTTGTGTCCAATAGTTTATGGAAGCAAAGAGTTTGAAGACTGAGAGCCAATCGGAACACTCTTTATGTATACAAAACTATTTTGATGAACAAAAACGATTCATTCATTTGGAGAAGCAGTTCAGAAGTGCCATTAAAAAGTCAAAGTAATCGACAATCAGTTAATTGTCATGTGATTTCATTTATTAATTGCTTTGATTTGTATATTTCAGGCCATACTATGAAGAGTCGGCTAACGTTCAGATGGAACTCAACTCAATTAAGAGCCGAATAGAAACCTTAAATAAAGTGATATTAGACGCCAAGAAGTCCTACGCGAAGACACTCAAGGATTTAGAGAATATATCGGATGAGATTCACGAGAGAAGGGCTCAACTCATGGCCAAGTCGTTGACCAGAGAGCCCGGAGTCGGCGCCGAACGCGATGACAATCATTGCGAGTATTCATTAAAAGGTAATAAAATTAACATTTGTTTGAAAAATTATCAAATAGTTTATTAAAAATTGTATTTCTGTTTAAATATTATCAGATATATGTGCCGAAGAAGTGCCACAACTAAACAAAAGTACAAGCGATACGCGAGCGATGACTGATAGTCTATCGCCAAACACATCGCTCGCATCGAGATCTCCATTATTAGGCCACTCGTCGTCCTCTTCGCTCAACACTACCGAAGATGAGAGTCAGGCGTCGACGACAACCACTGATGAGACACTCGTGCACTCAGTCGACGGACAACAAGCCGATGGTCTCGACACTAATGGCAACTCATGTAATGATACGAACGCTAATTGTATCGAAAAGTCTTTCGTCGAAATCGATTTGGAAAATTGATTCAATTATTCCCTAAATTCTATATTAATATAAATATTTGGCTATTTTTCTTATCAATATATACTTTGACTGATATATGAGTCCCGGAGTTATATAATAGAGACTCATGTGTCTAACAAATGAAACAAAAACTTTGTATTTTTTGAAACCGAAGTCTAAATTAGTTGATGATAAATATTTTTATCGAGATTATTATCAATGTCTCATTTACTCGCACTTCATAATGACTGACAACCACTTGACGTGCATTTAGTGCCCGACGGACAGCAATGGACGCCATCCTTACAGCACACGGCGTATAAATATTTTTATCGAGATTATTATCAATGTCTCATTTACTCGCACTTCATAATGACTGACAACCACTTGACGTGCATTTAGTGCCCGACGGACAGCAATGGACGCCATCCTTACAGCACACGGCGTTCAATAGTGGACAACAGCCCCACTTCGAGGCACTTGTGTGACAACAAGTGTTGTTATCGGGACACACATACCGACCGCCCGGACAGACAATTCTCGTTACATTCATGGCTTCGAAGCCAATTAAACGCATTCTCTCTTTCGGTGTATTTGTCGAGTCGTTGGAATCGATGAGTCTATTAGTCTGACGAACGCACTCCTTGTGGATCAGATCACATCGCGTCCCGTGAGGACAGCAGTGGAGTAAATCACTGCAACACACGCCTGACATAGAGAGAGGACACACATTATAACAATTATACATTTAGCGCAAGTTATCAAATTAAAATCCAAGACCTGAATCGTATGGACAGCAGCCATAACCGCCGCCCTTCTCCTTACAACAGGTCTGGTCTGAGAGACAGGTCTGGTTCCTATCGGGACAGACGCCCGCAGAATCGGATTTAATTTGTGGCCACAGATTCAGAGCGATTCGTTTGGTCTGCTCTGTAAGCGCATCACAAGTGCCCTCTTTGTCGTTACATTTGGTCCCATTTGGACAACAATGCAGACCATCGGCGCAACACTGAGCTGTGTTTTGGCCAACAAATCAATCATATTTAATGTTTTTATCATTGATTGTCTCAACGAACATACCTGAGGCCAGTGGACAGCAGCCATAGTTGCCTGACGACCATTTACAACATGTCATATCTGTGGACAATCAATGTAATCATGAGTGAAATGCTTGTCTTATACAGCAATTGTATTGTCAAACCATCGCCGCATTGTGTGTGTTGGTCGGGACACAGCGCTGATTGTGACCAAGCTATCATCGACAACAGCCATATCGACCACAATGTCATATATGGCCTACAATTCATGGCAAATGCAAATCAAGTGATCGTTAGATGAGATAATGAGTGATATGTGAGAAGTGCTGAGTTATTGTCATTGAATGGATGTGTGAATGAGATTCAAATGTTTATTCAAATGCAGTGACAGTCGCAGACACACAGACTCGCTGTGATTACCATATCTGACACACATATCCCATACAAATACATGTATGAGATTCCTATGCTATTCAATACAAGTGCTATTTATACAGAATATTTGTAATGAATTTAACATTTGAACA